GATGGCCAGTTTATATCCATTCGTTCTCATGTCCACATTAGTACTGAGCTGAAATAATTCCTCTCCCTCCCTGGTATTTATCCCTCTGATATATTTAAAGAGAGCAATCATATCCCCCTCAGCCTTCTTTTGGTTAAGGTAAACAAACTGAGCTCCTCAAGTCTCCTTTCACACAACAGATTTTCCATTCCTCGGATCATCCTAGTGGTCCTTCTCTGTACCCGTTCGTTTGATTTCATCCTTTTTAAACATGGGAGACCAGAACTGCACACAGTACTCCAAATGAGGTCTCACCAGTGCCTTGTATAACGGAACCAGCACCTCATTATCCCTACTAGAAATACCTCGCCTAATGCATCCCAAGACCGCATTAGCTTTTTTCACGGCCACATCACATTGCCGACTCAGTCATCCTGCGATCAACCAGGACTCCGAGGTCCTTCTCCTCTTCCGTTACTTCCAACTGATGCATCCCCAGCTTATAACTAAAATTCTTGTTAGTTATCCCTAAACGCATAACCTTACACTTCTCACTATTAAATTTCATCCTATTACTATTACTCCAGTTTACAAGGTCATCCAAATCTCCCTGCAGGATATCCCGATCCTTCTCCAAATTGGCAATACCTCCCAACTTTGTGTCGTCCGCAAACTTTATCAGCCCACTCCTACATTTGGTTCTGAGGTCAGTAATGACTAGATTAAATAAAATCAGACCCAAAACCAAACCTTGAGGAACTCCACTGGTAACCGCCCTCCAACCTGACAGTTCACCTTTTAGTATGACCCGCTGCAGTCTCCCCTTTAACCAGTTCTTTATCCACCTCTGGATTTTCATATCGATCCCCATATTCCTCCACTTTAAGATTTCCAGTCATCTCTGAACCTAATTGTTCTAGTTCTGGTTTTTTTTTTTTTTAAGTTTTAAGTTTTAAATCCTGAGCGACAAATTCAATGGAACATCAAGCCAACATTTAAGAAATCATGAAATACAAAGTCACTCAAGTTAAATGGCAAACTTCATTAACGCAGCGTAAAGGTTGCTCAGTGGTATCTCATGCCCCTCCAGAATGCCGAGTTCAGCAAAACTAAAATTTCTAAAAACCAGAGTTAAGGTAAACATCCATAAAACTGTAACTCTGCCCTCTGGAACTGGCAATAGCCACTGGGTATTATCTGCATGCATTCCAGCTACATGCACTGTGTTATATGCAACTGTACTGAATGGTGGTGGAGTGAGTTGAAGTAGTTTGGGGGCAACTGTGACAGCGACACGAGATCCGGTTTTGAGTTGTCCCCGCAACCAACCTGTGTGTGTTACCAAAGGAAAAGAGTGTGTATGTACTTTGAGGTTCCAGTCTACATCATTTCAATACAGAATTGTGCAGGTTGTGTCAGCAGCAGGGCACTTTGGTCTTCATACCATGGGTATTGTCAGTAGTGAGGTGGGATACAAGAGCAGTCTGTGGATTTAATGATGGGTGGGGAAAGTATAACTAAGTGTTACCCTGTGCTGAAGTAGGAATGGGTTGTAAGAGGATATGAAGTGGTTGTTAAAATGTAATAGTGCAGAATTCTGTCATGAGAGCAGGCTCAATGTTTGTATAGGGCAAGTGCAGGCACTGCCTGTCTATTATAGTAAAGGGGAGAAAGTGTGTGTGTGTTGAGCATATTAGGGCATTGCTCAAAGAGGACAAAGTGAAGGCTGTATGGGTGCTTACCTTACCTCTATTTCCTGGTTTTCAGATGTTTTAGTTTTGCTCAACTTTAGGTTCTGAAAGGTCATGAGGTATCATCAGGCAACATTAACTGTGTTAATGAAGTTTTTTTTGCCATTTAATTTCCTAATTTTTTAAAAAACAGGAAGAAAAATATTTGGTGGTAGGAGTTAGTGGTCATTCAGCTAGTTGTACTTCTCATTTAGATTTGCAGCTGATATACTTTTGTGGTAATAATAAAGAGACCTAGCTTTTATATAGTACTTTTCATCAGAAGATCTCAGAGAACTTTACATCATGCCTCACATTTTCACTTCTATACCCATTTTACAGATGTGAAACTCTCAGGCAAGGTCACCCAGCAGCCCAGAGGCAGAGCTAGGACTAGTCTCAGTCCAGTGGTCTTTCCACTAAGCCACACAGTGCTAGGCAATTCCTCAAGTTACGTCTACACTACATACCTTGTAATGGTTCAGCTGTGTCACCGCATCTCTGCCATGGTAAATTCTCCTATGTAGCTACTCTTAGCCAGCAGGAGAGAGCTCTCCTCCCAGCTTAATTCAACCACCCCCAACAACTGGCGTCAGATATGTTATCAGAACTGATAGATGATCCTGGTACACAAACAGGGAGTGGACCTCACATACCGCAAGAAAGGCAAGATACCCAACCCCCAAATCTGACTCACATGAGGGGGAATGGAGGCAGTCAGATGGCCATAAATGGGTAGGGGTCACCAAAATCCTGGCAAAGGGGAAAGGGCTCAAGACATCCCCAGGGAAGCAAGATCCCCCTTGCCCTCTACTCTGAGCTGGGACCTGGAAGAGGACTCAGACCATAGAGGGGTTTAGACCTAGAACTCGTGAGGTTGGTGGCACAATCCATTTTTCCCATTGCTGCCTATACAGAGCAAGATGTTTGACACACATGTAAGTGTGTAAATTTACCCACATGATTAGTCACACTGAAGTACTGACTTTGAATTACTCATGTGCTTACCATTAAATATGTGCTTATGTATTTCTAGCACTAGCAGATACAAATTTTATTTATGAAAATTTTAGTGGCACAGAATGTGTCACTCCACAATAAAGTCGCTTCAGTGTTAAGGGGTTAGGTTAGACTTTGACTACATTAAGTTTTATGAATTTTCATACACATGCCAATAACTTTAGACACAGGAGCCTAAGGTTTGAATCCTAAATTCATTTAGTACAGCTAAGCTAAACACCCAACCAATATTTTGGCAACCAAAACTGATCTTTTTCAGTTTCTTGCCAAAAACAGAAGACCTGGGTTGGGAGGGACGGATGGCTGAGTGGGGGCACAGAGACAGATGGGGAAGGGGGTGCAGGGCCACATAGGGA